CTTCTCTCTGTGCTGGAAATATTAACTTCTCATGCTAACAGACTATCCAGGGGCCTTTTCTGCTTGTGAGAAAAAGAAATGTATCTTTTAGCATCCACTGCAGTTCAGTAACAGGAGATAAAGCAGCACAGTGCTCCAAAGGCAGAGTTTAATTAAAACAATAACAGCTGATTTAATGACAATATTTTGCCTTCATGTGGAAAAATAGAATATGAAATAACTGACTCATGCCAGTGATATGATTCATCTGGGGTTTTTTCTTCCTCATTGCATGTAGGCAGCTTCTAGTAATGTTAGGAAAATATGAAGTATGAAGAATTTTTTTTTTCAGGCAAGTCTACCTTTGCTGCTGGGATCACTGCAGTTCTGTAGGGACACAGCACTGCACCTGTGCAGCACTAGCAGCTCCTGGAATATCCTGAGTATTTCTGAGCCATAGCAGTGCTTTTTGATCAGATAAAGTATTTTACTGAGGCACAGGCTGGTTGGGAGGACTGTGGTGGCACTTCTGTACTGAGTGCTGTCAGTGGATTCTCTATCAGATCTTCTCATCTCTGCTCATTGTGGATGAAGCCTTTTCCTTCCCTGTGCCTCTTATTACTCCCAAATTACCAGACTTGAGTTATTAGATTCTTCAATGTAGTGAACAATCCCTGTAATGATGAATGGAATACAGAATGTGGTGTTGTGTTGAAAATGTGCACTTGATGAGGAGTTAGTTTTCATCTCTTTGATTTTATGTCTGCAGCCTCCTCATTGTCTGATTAAATAATTTTTAATAAAAATTTTTCATGGTTGGGAATCTTCTGGGTTGGTAGAGATGTTAGATGTACTTTTGCTTAAGAAATACCAACAATTCTACTTCTTTCTGAAGTTAAGGCAATTGAAATTCAGCTTTTGTGCAGGTATAGAGTTGTGGGTTTTACTCTTTTATGGTGGACCCTTAAATTATTTTCTGGCACAGAGACCTGTGTGATGCATCTACCCCTGCCAGTGACAGAAAGGTGGGACCTGTTCAGCTCCTGTGGGTCCCCTAGAAATGCTCAGTGACCCCCTGGAGCTGGGAATCACTCACAGAGCATCACCAGGATCCAGAGGAGCTCCAGCACTGAGCATTAGTCAGGATCTGTGGCCACTGAAATTCAATATTAATGCATTAAATAAGGAATCTTTCTGTATATAATATTGCCTTGGCTGCACAGGTGCTGGACATGTTTTTACACATTTCTGTGAGAGGTTATGATGCCCCTCAGAACATCCAGGATGTGCTGTGGATTCCTGGGGTTGTGTTTTATCAGTTCCAAGGTGACCACTGAGCTCCAGATGGAGCTGCCTTGTTTTGTCTGGGGGTTTGTGGCAGTTCCATCTCCATGGTTATAATTAATCATAAATCCATTTTGCATTGATTTTCCTGAGTTTTGTCAGAAGTCCATGGTATGAGCACAGAACCATCTCTGAGTTAAATGAGTGGTTCATAGTGGTGGGATTTTCT